CTTATAGTGCTATTTGGCAATGATCTTTGGCGAGCGACATTCCAGTTGCTTGAGGGACTATTACAGGTCGGTAGAAGGGGTAAAGGGAGAGGGTTGGGAACGGAAGACAAAGGGTTAAACAAAGANGCGTGGTCCTGATTATCCTGCGCGACGACCGATGCAGTACGAATTTTTTTATTTTGTGTATGCATTGGGGTTTGGTGGACGGGTACTGCTAGGGTGTCCAGCCACTAAGCAGGAGAATGATCAGCGTTCTCGTCCAAAGCCTTGAGTTCTAACAAGAACCTAACCGCAAGGCAGCGAGTGAGGTGAAGTGGGAGCCCGTTTACTTGGATCGATTACTCTTCCACCGCTATTATCGACTGAGACGCCAAATTCCAGGCGAACCCCCAACCTGGAGGACCAGGAGACTGAACTTCGTCTACCTCTACCCATTGACCTTCCAGGCATGATAAGATCTCTTGGCATTATAAAGCCATCCTGTGTAGCTCGTTGCGTCACAGAGGTGCACAAGCCATCACGACACGTTAAGGTGTAGTCTCATCGTGATGGTTTTGATCGAACGCAGCCAGCTACTCGTTAGATGAACGTGCCAGATAAAAATATTGTCTGTTATACGGACTTTCGGTATGCCTACGAAGCGCTTTTTTTACAAATTGCTTTATCCATCCTAAGGAATGAATTTTCAGCCCCTTGCACACCAGGGTCATTCATCATCGCGTACCGTCACACACAGAGAGAAAAATATAGCACCGTAAATTAAAGAAAATGGTGAAAACAGAAATCATTTAGTTAGGATTTTAAAAACTTGTCTCTGACGGATGCTTCTGTGCGAGAAATTGCGAAAGATGTGGGATAACGGACAAACGGTAGGCAGTGGTACAAATATACGCAAGTTTATAACGACACCTGGTTACGGAAGTGGATACACGTTAGTTAAACTCTGTGTGTAATGAGTTAATGAAGTAAAAGTTTTCGCAAAAGGTAAATGTTTGTTGGCAATAAAGTTGACCAAGTGTAAACAGGGATAGGTATTGTAGAGAACGTACACGGGTAACCGACTGGTTACTAAAAGTAGCAAGAGTCTGGTGTAGGTTATCAAACCACCACCATGGTTTTGCACTAAACAGTTTCTATCCAAAGTTTATATTTCAAGTCAAGTCAATTCAAGTCGAGGAATCACTTTATCCACCCCTCGGGGTGGTTATTCAGCAACTATAACATATTTGGGAAAATTTGGAAAT